CTGAGAGGGTACGTCTAGACTACATGCCTGGGAGGCATACCTGGGAGGTCGACAAATGCCTTTGATGTCCACCGCAGAACATCCAGACTACCGCGGTGAGCCGACAAACAGCTGATTGGCTCAGCGCGGCAACCATGTAAATTTAAATGAAGCGGCGATTATTTAAATCGCCGCTTCATTTTCCTATGCCGGGTAGTCTAATCTACATGCCTCTGTCGCTAGAGTCATGTAGTCTAGACGTACCCTTATAGTACGTGGCTCTTAAATCTATTTGAGAAAGCCTGGATGTGGTTGCCTATGTCTGCACTGGTGGGTTATTGCACAAGAAAGCCTGGATGTGGTTGCCTGTGTCTACACTGCCCACCCTCTCTCGCACAAGTAAATGTACAGTATGGAGTGATAAGAGAGCTCCTTGCGCGAGAGCTATGCTGTTTTCTATCAGGGGTAAGTTCTCTTGCGCAGGTGCTCTTGCAGAAGAGGGCAGTGTGGACACGCGGCAGGGGTTTCTCGCGCAAGAATTGGCCTCTGGGAAAAAAAACACAGGTGGCCTCTCCGATGCAGGGGGCAGGGGGGCCATGGGGTGGGACCAGTGGTCCGCCCAACAGACCCGGAGGAAAAGGAGGAGGGCAACTGGTCCACCAACGAGGAGAAGGATGGTAGCCAGAGCCCACCAGCCCGGCCCAGCAGCCACGACATGTCCCAGGCCTCCTTGGAGGCTGGCGAGGGATCATCTGGTGAGTGTCACACAAAGCGGCGGGCTCCATGTTGGGGCAATGCCAAGGTCATATTTGCCCACATGGCCCAGGCGCTGGCCATACAGGGACACCCGGCCCGGCCTTAGAACAGGTCCGGGCCAAGGTGAAAGACCTGCGGCTCAGCTACATGTAGGCCAGCGAGAGTGGGGGTGGTGGAGCCACTGCTTGCCCCCACTACCACCATCTGCACAGTATCCTGGCTGACAAGGGGGCCGAGGCCCTGGAGGCCAAGGTGGACTCAGCCCTGGCCACTCCAGTGGTCCGGCCAACAGACGCGGAGGAGGAGGAGGAGGAGGGCAACTGGTCCACCGAGGAGGAGGAGGACGGCAGCCAGAGCCCACCACCCCCAGGCCTCCTCGGAGATTGGCGAGGGATCATCTGGTGAGTGTCACAGCTGCCACTCACAAGTGTGCAGGGGCAGGGGAGCCATGGGGTGGAGGAGAGGGCGCAGCACATGGCACAGCCTGGCCGGATGCTGCACAGAAGCACGTGCAATCTTGTGCAACCAGACCAAGTGGCACATGAACATAACTGCCACCCCAGCACATGAATGGGACCCCAGGGGTCATGCACACCCAGCCTGGCGGTGGGAGGAAGGTCCAGCCGGGAGCAGCCCAGCTGCAAGGGCACAAGGTGGACAGCACGCAGCCCAAGGGTACTGCACACAGCACTAATCCATGGCCACTTATGGGACATAGTAGCTGCCCCAAGGCCCCCCACCACCACATGTGGCCCTCCCAGGATCCCCCGGCCCACCTCAGGCCCCCCTGCTGTCCCTAAGGGAATCCCCTCATGCCAGTCTTACGTGTCCCCAGGCATTGTGGCATGTGCGGTGGCATGAGGAGGGCACGGGGCGCCCGGAATACCACGGGGCAGGGGTCACTGATGATCTCGCTATCATCTGCTTCCTCTGCAGTGGGACCCCCTACCAGTGAGGGACCTTCCAGCCCCATCCTGTCGGCACTGAGGAGCCCATCGCAGCGCACCTGAGACTGACACTACCTTCTCCACCACCACGTCTGTGCCATCGAGCACATGGAGCGCTCACTCAGGAACAAAATCCGTGCTGACGAGGTGTGGCGGGAGCGGGTAGGGGGCCAGTACATTGAGCGCTGTGACTGCATGTACGCCCTCCTGGGAACCATTGCGGAGCGCATGGGCCCTGCGCCGCAGCACAGCGTGGCCAGGCCCCCTCCAGTTGCCCCCCCTTCCTTGCCCAGCCCACACCCCGCTTTCCCCCCAACATGCCCCGTC